AATTTCTGGTAAGTGCCTCGTTTATTTTAACTTGAGCCTCTTTTTCCGTTTAATAAGCGCCACTTCCCCCTTTTCATAAAAGCCCCCTTTCACCTCCGATAAATGCCCCTTTTTAAAATCTGATCGGTGGCCTTTTCTTTCAACAAATACACATTTCCTTTATTATAAGTGCCCCCTTTCAACTCTGATAATTTCCCCTTGAATAATGATACGTGCCCCTTTTCTTTTCTAAGAAGGATCTTTTATATTTTCAACTTTTATAAATTTATAAATCTGATGGGTGCCTTTTTTTCCAACAACTAAGCGTTTCCCATTCTCATAAGTGCCCTTTTTCACCCCTAGTGAGTGCCTCTTTTCAGGTGTAAGAAGTACCCATTTTAACCTCTGATAATTACCCTACGTACTTTGACACATACTCATTTTCTTTTCTAATAAGTGTCTTATCCCTTTCAAAGAATGTCCCTTTTTTTCTATCATCATTAAACATTACCCTATCTCATTCTCACTCTCCCTCTATCTCGTCACCCCTCCCCCTCTCTCTCTCTTGCTTCATCTGCAAAATTTCATGTTTATGAATTGTGAATAAAATAATATCATTCTGTTCCGAATAGAAATCAAAACTGCGACAAAATGTTTAAAGTCCATCAATGTTCCCTTTACATAGTAAGTAATCTTTACAGACAAAGAATACACTAAGCAGATATTATCACTTAATATCTCATATTTTCTTTAATTAAGAATGAAAACAACACTATGAATATGACTGACAAAGAAAGCGGACAAAATATACAGTTCCTCAGGTAGACAAAGGAACACCCCTTCACTGCTATTATGTAAAAATGTGTAGAACAGGTGTCACATGCATATTCACTTTTTACATAATAGCAGTGAAGGGATGTTCCTGTGTCTACCTGAGGAACTGTATATTTTGTCCACTTTCTTTGTCAGTCATGTTCATAGTGCAAATATCTCCAAAATAAAATTGATAAAAAACTCTTGTTATACATTGAAACATTTACAATTATTTGCATCACGCTCATGCACTTGAATTTATGGCTTGCAAGTAACCATGTCATTTTAGTAAACATGATTTGGAAGACAAAATGAAATTTTACAAAAGTGATGAGACAAATATTTCCCACTAGAATCTCCCAGCCAGTTATGCAAGAAAAAAAAATGCCCTTCAATACATAATAAAGGGTATACCTTACCTATAACCTCTGTTCTCACAAACACCCAATACATTACCTTACTTAATAGTCTATGAATAATTATACTCATTAAATTAATAATAATACCCATTTTCTTACTGAGTTCTATGAATAATTCTTAACATAGTTATGAGCTGTGGAATATTTTCATCACTTGCTTCAAGTTACTATTTTTATATTCAAATATCAGAATGAAGTTTCATTTGATAGATATCTATATGTCAGACAAGCACCTAGTAAGAAGAATGCATAGCATATAAACACTCATTAAAAAATAAACATTCTTTAAATTTCCTTGTAATTCCTTCCGACATCGACTGATTTTGGTCACATTTTCAAAGTTTCATTATTAACCAAAACATATTATGATGACAGATGAATCATGATTAGGCGTATGAAACAATGTTTTAATCAGAATCCAATAATATTTCACGATTCTATTTTACATAAAATTACTGTGATGTCATCAACATACTACATAAGATGCAAATCATTTCACATGAACTAATTTCCAACTGCGGGTACATATAATACAAATGCGATCAAACAAACTTGCGTAAAGGAGCAGCACAGAGAGAAAGAAAGAAAAAAAGAAAAAAAGAATAAAAAAAAAATTGAGGCTTTTTCAAATTCCACCCAGGAAGGTTCAACACTTTTTTGGTCTTTAGAACACTATAACTTCTAAACAAATGTAATGAACAAAAACCCTCTGAAACTGCTTTGTTTCTACAAATTATGTTGTACTCTTAAATATAATATTATGCAGGTTAAAGTTGACAAGATTCATGCGTTAGCTTTCAAAGGCGTCCTACAATGTTCTAATAGAGGAGTCCCAGAGAAAAGCCCACTGATTATCTTAGCTTCCAAACATAATTATATCCTCATGTCTAGGGCAACAGTATTCATTCTGAAATTGATTAATACTACTCAACAATGTACTTCATTCATTTAAATCTTGTGGTTTAAGGATAATCTTGAGTTTCAATATAAATAATTATGACAAAATAAACTCCACCTGAATCCAACACAATCTTCTATCCAGTACCCATATGTATTCACAAGATGCATGATCCTCACAGTTTGCCAGGTAAAGGCTCATTCATATATGCCACAGTAAATTGCTGCACTTTTATTGAGTGAGTGAGTGAGTGTGTGTGTGTGTGTGTGTGTGTGTGTGTGTGTGTGTGTGTGTGGTAAAGGAATAGTAAGTGGGGACAAAAAAAAGTAGCTGCACCAGAGAAAGGTCCTATGCATACTCACTTAATATCTGTGTGTTATAAGATACAAAAATGTGAATTGCAGGATGCTTACATACTTTTAAAAAAATGCAGCAGTAAACCATCATGGTTTGCTGCAGCATATTTTAACAAGCCACAAGAAGCAAAGTAAACAAGGTATTCCATGAAGTGAAATCTTGAAAGTGTATCCTGGTTATAAGATCATGAATGGTGTCTACCTGTTAAGCCATTCTACATTGTCTAATGTGTACATATCATTAATTTGAAGAATATGCTGTTTTCAGTCAGTTTTTGTTATCATTTTAACATGTGGCTCATCTAAACAGCACTGATGATTACTTGATAATAATTCACATAAATGTTAGAAAGCTGTTCTTGAAATAAAGTTTCATTGGAAGTACTGGTACTCAAAATTGCCTTCAGGTTCATGAGAAAATTTATCTACTGGTACACAATGAAGACTATAAACATTCACTATATCTTGTATGAGTTAGAACAGGACAGTTCAAATGCTGAACACCATCACTTACATGTTTTGATGTAGAGATGGAACTATTTGAATTTACCTTCTCCTCCAACACCATATTTAAACCAGTAAAAAATGAGAAAAGTTGTTCAATTTTCTAGCCTGTAACATGCAGATCTGAAAAGCTCTAAGCCGCTTCGCAAATTTGACTCCTGTATCATATGGGCAATTCCATGGAAGAGGTTCGATTGCCCAAAAATCATAAATTGGCAGAAATGATTGTGGTACCGTAACCAATTTAGTATCAAACATAAGATCTCAAAACAATCTATAATTTGATTGGTAAAGTAATATGATTACAGTCATGTAAGCTCATGTAAGCACATGTAAGGACAATTTTCTTCAAAACTCACTTTTGTAGCAACATTTGGCAACAATTTTCGTCAAAATATCCCCATCTTTGGGTCTCATTATTTCACAAGCACTTCAGATTAATTTTTTTGATAGAACATTGTGATAAATGGACCAAAGACTACTTGACCCCATGAACATATCAAAACAAAGATACAGAGGTCTACTAAAAGTGAACAAAGGTGTCATGTCCAGTACACACGACCTGTCATGTATGTTACACTCAATTTTTTTTAGCTCTGACAAGGAAATGTGCAATCTAGTAGTGTTACAACATGTATTTATGTTTAGAGTATGATTATAACCTTCTGTTAATACCTTAATTAACACATTGACCCCTAAAATCTAGAGACTTTTCAAAGTGTTTAAAGGAGTATCACTACATATGTCCTTCGTAGTCAAATGTGTATGATTCACTTAATAACTTGTTTCAGGACTTTGGATTTTACTTTTGTTCTTAAATAACCAAAAATAAGTCTGAATGTCATGTCTTTATCTCACCTGCACAGATGAGAAGGGGAGAACGAATAATTATTATTGCAATCTAATCAGGCAGATCATATGGCTTTAATTGCAGGAAAAAGTTTTGAAGAAAAGCTACAAGAACAACTTCTTATGGATTTTGTCAATTTCAATGCAAGTAAACTGTACCAATAATTAAGTTTTCAGCAGTAAATGTAACACTAAAACATGATTTGAAATAAATTGAGTTGCTCACTGAATCTGGATAAATTGAGAAGAGAAACTAATACCAACAAGTCAACGCAAAGCGTAGCATCCCCTCGCAGGGTACAAATGGCCTATATACGTCAGAACAAGTTACCTCTGTTGGACTATACTATTATATTACTAGGCAAGGAAGTTAACCTCATTTTCACATATATATTAATAGGTGTTTTTGCATATTTAATGAGCTATGACCTTTCACCTTTGACCTAAATACTCAGAAATTGAACTTAGGCTGTACTTTTTTTTGGATACCATGTACCTTTATATTAAATTTCATTAAAATCTGTCAAACAATACTAAAGTTATGGATCAGAAACCAGATTCGCATATTTAATGAGCTATGACCTTTGACCTACATACTCGGAAATTAAACTTAGGCTGTGTTTTGATACCATGTACCTTCATATCGAATTTCATTAAAATTTGTCAAACATTACTCAAGTTATCGATCGGAAACCAGATTTGCATATTTAATGAGCTATGACCTTTGACCTACATACTCGGAAATTGAACTTCGGCTGTATTTTGATATGATGTACCTTCATATCAAATTTCATTAAAATCCCTCAAACATTACAGAAGTTATTGATAGGAAACCAAATTGTTACCAACGAACGGACGGACGCACGGAAGGACGGACGGCAGCATAACTATATCTTTTCTGACTTCGTCGGCGAGGGGATAAACAATCAACAATGTATCTCATGATAATAACCCCATTTCACTTTAGTTGTCCATGGGGAGCCTCTTGTTCAAACAAATTTTGTGAAATCCTTCACATTACTGCCAAAAACACACACATAGGTCTGTCATATAATATTGTTGCCTAAGAAGAAAAAAAATGAAATGATTAGAAAAAAATAATAACATGAATAATAGAGTGGAAAAAATGACTACAGCATTCAGGTGGATACTATATGGCAAGAGAGGCATTTTATACTATGCACCAATAGTGTTTATCTCTTATGGCACTGGCAAAATAATGATACATCACACTGCAATTCAAATTACATACATGAAGTAGATACATCCATTAGAAGAGTTTTGTGATATGCATACAAATAAAACATTTTTCGATCTACAAACCCCACTAAACAATAATGCTTCATGTGACAAATTGCTGACATTGGTTTTTAAAAAAAAAAGCATATGTTCTTCATAATACAACAGAAAAAATTAAAACAAGTCAAGAATCAAGCTGTGGCAGGGCTTCAAGCTCTAATAGCTTTATCGAGAAGGAAATGATGTACTAGTCCTGTCAAAATGGCAATCTTATAAAATATGATCGAAATTACGGTCTGCAAGGGAGGGAGCACGCCTCATTTGATTCCTCCCCAAAATACAATGCACATAATAACTTGGATCAATAATATCCTTAACAACACTTACATGTACTACTAGATGATTGTGAGCTCAGAAAGAATAAATCAAAATAGTGTTGGTAAAAAAAATAATAACTATATAAAACTAAAACTCAAAATATATTCATGTTTCATATTTAGATTATGTACAGACAAGATTGAATTTACACAACCCCCTGACAAAGTATATGAAACATCATTACTCTTATCCCAACAGTTTTCCAACCACAGTGCCGTAAGACATTTTTAGGGTGCAGCGAGAGAAATTTAGTTACATCAAGCATTTTATTTTGGAATGCCAATTTTGTGAAAACCGTATTGAAACCGCTATGTATTTTCATGAGGAGATAACATTTTAAAGATAATAAAGTGTCTTTCTTCCGAGATGATCAAATATGAGACTTTTACCACAAATGTATGTATTCTGCAGCGAGGTGCCCACATACATAATTGTACCTAGTGTGTTTGGATTACATATCCATCATATGAAAAACATCTTTATTTTTGCTCGATTGCAAAATTTAGAAACAAAATGTGCCTGTAGGTATGTATACGGTACTTGACAAGTGCCAGAGTGATGAAAAATGTATCTTCTGTGAAAAATTGGGATTGAGGTGACGCACATTTTTAATATTAATTAAAAGGGTGCTGTGATAAACAAAAAATGTTGAAAAAACACTGTCTCATCTCACCATTACATATAATATAATTGTCTCAATAACATCCCTTTGTCAGGGTGTCTCCTCAAAGTCACACAACCAATGAAGTTTTACAGGCAAGCCTGGGCCCCATCTAATAAAGAGTTGCGATTGAGAAAATCAAAAAGACAACCTTATTTTTTGCAAACCACAATAGATATACTTTCACGGCTTCATCAAAAAATGACAGCAACCTGGAAAAAATAAGCACAGGACATAATGAAAAAGATTTTTTTTTTTAGAAAGAACCAATCTTCAACTATCTTGGTTTGACAAAACTTGACCATATTGGTTTGCTATACCAGGCTACACTTACAACAACCCCTAGAGCCATGAGCGCCATTAAGGTCTTACTTAGTGTTGACATGCCTCGATTATCAGGATCTTCTATCAGATCAGCTGGGACTACGTCAGGGCTGGTATCACAGGCCTGCAAAAAGAGAACAGAGAAGAGAAAAATAACTAACTAAATTGGTGCTGATATTCTACTTTCATCACTGATACCAGGATTACTGCATTACTTCATCTTTAAGAAATCTTTGAAGAATACATGCCTATATTAACAAAGCATTACACAATGACAAATTGAGGTTGGGACATTATTAATAGGCAGGGTGTCCCATTAGCAGGCCCCCCCCCCCAAAAAAAATCCTTTTGAATATAATTAGCATTTTGAAGTGAATATTGACTAAAGCCCCGTCTTAATAGAACTTTTTTGATCTCAACCGAGCGATATGTGGACGAGAAACAGTGGGGGGTCTGATCGTAAAACACGGGGTGAGCTTTTGGACACCGTCTTAATTAGCCATCCGCTAAAACCTCAACCGGTAGGTTACCATAACAACCGCACCTGTCTTATCGCGATCAGCTGCGCGCTGTATACATTTTGTCACGGCAAAGATGTAATTTACCCGGGTAGAGTTCCGCGAGCATCTTAATAGGCCGTTTATCAGGATGTCGTCCGGACGACACCTCGATATCACCCTGGCTCGACTAGGGTGAGATTTACCTCGATATTGTCCGGACGTTACCCCGATTGACGCGTCTTAATTGGAAGGGGGTAAATATCATCTGGACGATGTCCGGACGTCATCGCGACTTTATTTTCCGATTAAGACTGGGTTTAAGAATCATCAGAAGAATTATTTATTATAATTTGTACCAAGATAGATTACATTAATGAAATATAAACAGTTACTATCTATATAAGGCTTTTAAGTAGTACAACAGATCAGTGTATTCAATATCTTTAGCGAAGTACCTGGATGACTGACCAATATTTTATCGTATTGCTCAGTTGTCTGGAACTTCAACTTTCGATATTGATATCATATCGATATCATATATATATATATATACTGAGGTAAGTGAAATTTTGTTATATACCTCACTTAAGAAATCCAGCCATCTGATTGGTCGAATTGCATTCATAAACTTCAACTGTTCCTGTAAAATTCCCGGTAACCATGCTTAAAACATTTCAATATTTTAATAACCATGGTTATTAAAAAAATAGGTCAGTCTCCATGGTTACCCCATAGGTTTACATGTTAAAAAATGGTTTGAGCGATGGAGGATACCATACGTGTGCGAAAATTGGTCGGCAATTTCAATACAATTGAATCTCGATCGATCTTACCGACGATTTTATCTTGCATTGTTGACATGAAGACGAAAATTAACTCTCAAAAACAAAAAAACAACATCTGCCGATAGATCTTGATCTAAGTTCGTGCCAATATGCATTGCAAAAGTAAAAGAAGGGTCCGTTTCATGGAGCTTTTGCGAAGCATCCCTCACGCGGAGCCGTTTTCAATCCACTTTAATGTATATATTGGAGAAAACTGCCAAGCATGTTAACGACGCGCGATAGCCGAGTGGTCTAAGCGTTGGTTTTCGATACACCTCTTGTTGTACGCAAGAGTTCGAATCCCGTCTTCGACAAAATGTAAATTATTTTTTATTTTTTATTTTTTAGTCAATTTTTTTTCGGCATATAAAAGTATTAATGACTGCTTTAATATTCGAGAAATAGTTGTTTTCATACGCTCTCGGGAAGGTTACAATTGGGCTATTCCCCTCGGCAAGCCTCGGGGAATAGCACAATTCTAACCTTCCCTTGAGCGTAATAAAACAACTATTTCTCTCAAAGCAGTCATTAATACTATATTATTTCGCAAGTCAGAATGATATAGATAATAATAATATGTATGGCTTTGTTTTCGTGTGATACAAGAATATATTGCTCTCGCTAAGACAATATATTCTTGTATCACACTCAGGACCATCCAGTATTATATAAATATCAAAAATTGATTTATTAATTCTCATATTAAGTTGTGAAAACATGATCCAAGTCTACTGACCTAAAATGTCCTTTGACATCGACTTTGTGACCTGAAATTTGTGTCATATGATTTGTGATAGTTGATAACCCTTGGGTACAAGTTTCATGGAATTTGAATGAAAACTTTTGTAATTATGCTAAAAATTCAAAATCTTGATGTTGATGCCACAACAAAGTCAAAGTTTTCAGACCTGAATTGACATTTGACCTTGACTTTGTCACCTAAAAAACTAATCATATAATTGGTGATACTTGATAACCCTTATGTTCAAGTTTCATGGAATAGGAATGTATACTTTCAAAATTATGATTAAAAATTCAAAAACTTGTGTTAAGTTTTTGATGTTGAGGCCGTCGCCGCCGTCGCCGGAAAAAGCGGCGCCTATGTCTCAGTTTTTTGCTACGCAGGTGAGACAAATATATTGTTTCACACATAGGACCCTTGAATGAAAAAGAGTCACAATAAAAAAGACCAAGGACTTTGTTTCAAGTTATCATGAATGGCTGTACAGCTGCTGGGTAGATAACAAAATATACATGTTTAATCTTGTTCTTGTACTTGTTTTGTTTTGTGTAAATTCACATGCAGTATTGCCACAAAAACAAACCAATGCAAAAAGAAAAAATGCGTTTGACCAAAGTGGTGGTAAAGACAAATATAATATTTTTTTCCTTCTGAAATTCCTCCCAGAAATCTTCTTTACATCCACTACTATTACTAATGGGAACCACTGAATATAAAAAATAAGTGCTACAACAGACAACAAAGGTATTTTTACTGACCCAAATATATGTAGAAGACTTCTGCATGCCAGATACTTATACTTATATGTAAATGTAATCCCATTCCAATTTTACTCCATAATGGGTTTCAGGTGTAAAGCGATGTAGAAGTTGTTTACATCCAATCCAAAATATTGTCATGATAATGTTGTATTTATCATTGCTGAGCTCTAATTGTTTTAACAAACTAAATGAACCAACAGTATATTTTTTTAAAGCCCATTGTAGGCCTGGGACTAATATTTGAATATTCAAACTATTCAAATAACTTGCTGCCTATCGGCACTAAAATATTACTTTTAAACTATTTGAATATTCACCCAACAACGAAAAGTGATTTTCATATCAAATATCTAAAACTCCATGATGATATTGGTATTTAAATCATAAAAAAAGTACTACATAAAAGACAATACCCAGGCAAAAGTAGGTTAAAGAGTTCAAATAACAATAAAGAGTTCCAACACGTTCCATGATTGCATGGTAGTAAAGAGTTGGTATGATTTGAGACAAAACGCTACCATGACCGCATGCATGCAAGTCAGCTGTAGCCCCAGTGGGGTAACAGCTCAACCAGCAAAGCATGCAGAGCTCTGCGAATGCGTGCTGGGGATTGTCTATGTAATATTTTTCTTTGTTGATGTTTTGAACCTAATGGCCCAAATTCACAAAGATGGTTTGTCGACAAACCTAGGTTTATGTGCAGTTTCGACGCATTTCCACAAACAAAGGTTTGTAAAAACGCGTCATATGACGCAGATAAACCTAGGTTGTCGACAAACCTCCTTTGTGAATTTGAGCCATGTTGTCTGACATTTTGAGACTTGTTAACTTGTGTGTATTAACTTGTGTGTGCAAAATGCAGCTTGCCAGTTCATATCTAACTAGAAAGACCTTTGCCTGCATGATGATGCCTCCGCCATAGAGCGATTTTTAAAACCAAACAGAAGCAATTTTTAAAATTCAAGTTTGATTGTAATCCATTCACAGGTTCTCAGAATATCATGATTACAAGCTATTTTTCATATACATGTATGACCCTTTGATCTTTGACTTCATGACCCTAAAATATAATCAGTTCATTGGCTCTGCAAGATATATACATGTCCTGAGTTTGATAGTTTGATCCATCAGTCTGTTTTAATGATAATGTGACCACAAGCTATTTTTGCATACATAATGGACCCCATGACCTTTGACCTCATGACCCCAAAATCTAATAATTATGATACAATATTTATAAAGCGCACAATAAACAACGGTTTCTCTATGCGCTGTACAAACATGAATGATGAGAAATATAATCACATAAAAGGAATCAACAAAGAGCAATGTACAAATGTTATAACTACTAAAATGACTAACTTAACATAGTAAAAAACATAATGAAACGATAGCTAACATGATCAAAACAAAAAAAGAAGTGCGTTTTTAGTAAAGATTTGAAAGTTGCAGAAGTGAGTGCCTGTCATATGAATTTGGGAAGATCGTTCCAAAGGTTTGGTCTAGCAACTGCAAAAGATCTACCCCCATATAATACTGGTTTTTGGTAGACAAGGTAATGCTTGATTGCTTGAACGGAGGGTTTGGTGTGAGTGGTATTGTTTGAGCAAATCAGTCAGGTATGAAGGAGAAGAACCGTGTTGTGCTTTAAATGTAGTTAATAAGAGTTCGAGTTATACTTTGTTGGCAAAGATGGCCCCCCAAATTTCTGGCACAAGGAACATGATTAATGTGGCAGTCACCGACATATACACTAGATATGTTCATCAGTTCGTTGGCTCAGCAAGAGACATACATGTCCTGAGTTTGATGGTAATCGATCCTTCGGTTCTAATGATAATGTGATCACAAGCTATTTTTGCATACATAATGAGCCCTGTGACCTTTGACCTCGTAACCCAAAATTCTAATCAGTTCATTGGCTCTGCAAGATTAATGCATGACCTAAGTTTGGCAGGAAACCATTAATCAGTTCATGAGATAATGCCTTTACAAGCTATTTTTGTATACAAAATGAGCCCCATGATCTTTGATCTTTGACCTCATTACCCCCAAATCTAATCAGTTTATGGGCTCAGCAAGATACATACATGACCTAAGTTTGGCAGGAATCCATCAATCGGTTCATGAGATAATGCGATCACGAGAACGGGAAGGACGTACGGATGGACAACGGGAGAACATAATACCTCCGTTACGAAATAGCCGGAGGCATTATGTTTTTGGATTGTCCGTCCGCCTGAAGCAATGACAAAAATATAATTTTTAGATTCTGAATTTGTATGCCAATTGCATTGACACTTAGCTGATTGATAAAATCAAAATTTTGAATATCATCTATTTCACAATCATATTTAGTATGATTATTTTATTTTAATTTCGCTATGGTGTTTTTCTTTATTGTTTTGATAGTAAGTTTGATCCTATTTCTTGTGGTATTTCTTGTGGCTTGTTTACTAGTTTGTGCACATGCGTAATGTGGCTCACCTGTTGCTATCCAAAAATGAAAATAATGACGTACATAATTATTCAATTATGAATTATTTTGTAATATTTCAATGAAAATTAGATTAGATTTATATAATCGTCAAAAACATTAATTCACAGTAAACCTGTTGAAATAATTTTCTCCAATGTTTTTTCCTGTTGGTTTGATAATCATTTTCATCCTGTGTCTTCTTGCATTTTGTGGCTTGGATACCTGTGTGTGCGCATAATTTTTGTATTAAAAACAGTTTGAGTATTCCGAACCTCAAATATCAAGATTTTACACATTACCTCAATAATTTGGATCTTGAGAGATCTGAGTTCTTGATGAAGCAGTCGGGTGTTATCAAGCATCTCTGAACAGACCGTTGATACCAGGTCACGACTTCCCGGTTCTTGACAAGACTCTGTCAGGCTGTTGTGTCTATCTAAGTTGCCTCTAATGTGGACAATACTCGACTTGATGTATGCTACATGCTTGTTCACATTGTCTAGGATCAAGTGCGTTTCTGGAAGACTGGAAAATAAAAATTACAATATCAAAAAATAATAGGCAGCAATGATACCGACCATAGGCGACCAATATACAAATGCTTTCAAATGTGTCTGTTATAAAGGCTATCAAACAAAAAGACAGATAGCCTTTTGTTCTACAAAAGATATTTTTCCCTAGAGGGAGAATATAAGGGTGACCACTCTAATTAGATGGCCTTAATAAATAGTCCAACTACACTAGGGAAGTTGGGCTACACTGGACTCTGTTTTTCTCAATAGTTATGACTGACTCCAGCAATCAGAATTCATTTGTTGTTTTGGAGGAAAGTGGTGGGTGTTGCCTCCAGAGCCATTGTCATGGTAACTAGCGCATCACGAAAATAATGAAATTTTTGGAAGTTTATAAAAGACCATATATATATATATATATATATAAGCTGATATTTTCTTTTCAATATCGTGGAAAGTGATACATTGTATATTTGCAAAATTCAATATCAATTCTTTATTTAAATTTCGATACCATGATATTTCAATATAATCAAGATATTGAGCAGCCCTAGTATAGAACATGTTAATATGAACCAATGAATTAACACCATTCCATTTTCCATTTAACACAATCACTCCAAGGAATACGTCTGTATTTCTACGTCTTAAACGTACATGTATGTTCTATTAGAACAATTTGTGTGAGGGAAAAGATGTAAAAACAAAAAAATATATAACCTCCCCGAGAGCCTATAAAAACAACTACATGTATGCCTTGAATATTAAAGCAGTCATTATAACTTTTATATACCAAAAAGGGTCATAGAATACAAGTGGGACTTACCAATCATGGTAATCAAGTTTGTTTATGCTATCGAGACCTAGTCTTAATAGGGTGTCTGATCGCGCACCACTAGAGTATGTGTGCTAAAATCCTTCCCAATTTCGACCAATCAGATGGCTTGATTTATAAAGTGAGGTATATAAAGATATATAATTTGATCTCATTTAAACATGTGATGAAGTGCTTGTTATACAAATTAAAGAATGATGTTATTCATGATTTTGTATCTGATTAAAGATTTATTTCAACAACAACAATTTTTTTCTTCTTTATAAGTGCAATTGATGGTTGTTATGTTTCCAACCGTAAATCTCTGTGTATAAGATGCACTTTTTTTCCCGCCGAAATGTTTAATTTTTGTTAAAGTGTTGATTTTAATATGCCCCTCCACCTGGCAATGTCTCCCAACTTGGAAACTAGAACAACACTACATGTATGGCCGTCTGTCTGTCATCTTTAGTTTGAAAAAACGACATTGTTACTATTATTTGTGACAAGCACAAATCAACGCCTTCAACTTCACCTCGCAGTAAAATAAAGGTCCTTCCCCACGTGCATTTTTGAACACGGACCTGGCTTGCTGCTTGCCGAAATAGGGGTGCGTTTTATACACAGGTGTGTCTTATTCACGGAGATTTACGGTATTTCAAATTAAATAATTTCAATGAGTAAATGAGTATTTCCAGGGAAATTGCCAACCCTGCCTGCCTACGACTATAATGCGACTATATTATGTAACCACATACCTGTATTCATTGTGTGCGGGCAAGCACTGAATCCAATGACCGGGTAATAGTATATTTGTAAAGTGCTTAGAGACATTTATATTAAGCGCTATATAAAAATTAAATATTTTTTCTATTATTTCCCGGATTCGTCTTTTTTTTCTCATTGTTTTAATAGGTTCCTCATATTTTACATTACCGATTATTTACTGCCATCATTGTATTTTTTCATTATGCTTTATCTTGCTGACCTTAATAATATGTAAGCTGTTATTTTGTGAAATGTGAAACAATAAAACAAAACAAAACAAACAAATGGCTCTGATTTTGATTTGAATCAAACAAGAAGCTCAAAATACAAAAATTAGATGCTTTTCATTTGTTTCAGTCCTGTTGAATTACCAATATGTGGTATGTTATAAAATTCCATTAATTTTTTCTGAGTTACCATAACAACTGCTCTGGAGGCCACACCTTTGTTTTATAGGATATTCTTTATTACTGTCTATGTTGTAAATCTTCTTTTCGCACCTGGTCAAGATGTACCAGGTAGGTAAGATAGCAAGAAATGTACATTAGTTGAACTTAATTATGTATGTAAAAAAATTAGAAGGAATAAATGTTACTTGGAAATGAATGGAATTGCATGGAGAAAAAAAATTAACACATAATCTAAATTCAATTGGTGTTAGTGTGCATATTGTCTACATTAGAATCACTCAAGGTGGGTGTCATTATGTTTGAAGATATTACAGATAATATGACTTTTAAAAAATTACAACTTTTTTACAAATTTCTCTCATATGTGTTTCCATCAGGTACTTAATCAACTAATCCAACCTATGATATGCTATTAGGTTTAATATTGACCATACGTTAACCTTCAAGAGTCAAATTGGGGTTTCAATTGTCTGGTTAGGCTTAAAGAATCTTTCTTGAGATCAAATTCATAATCTGTCTATAATATAAAATTCTGTTTATTCCCTTTTTCTTTAAGCAAAGAAAATGTAGCCCATCTCATTCCCAACTTATGTAGAGTAGATCACTGGTATCATGGGCTGTAATTTGCTGCCAAAGGAAAATGTGTCACTCACCTTAAAATTAATGATGGCTTCCGAATGCTGTTTGGTTCCCACTTTTTTCTATGTATTGCATGTATTGAATCTATGATTCTCTTTCGATGTCCTACTTGACTCACACCAATCTGTCAAAAATATGAAGGAAAAAAAATAAAAAATAAATAAAGTCTGTTCAGAGCCAGAAGGGCATTAAAAGATATGAGTCAAATCTCTCCTGGCTCCAAACAGACGATAAGGTCCATCAAGGACAAGCAATCTCAAAGGATTATGCATAATAGCAGTGATAATTACAGTCACCCTAATACACTTAGAAGCGAATGATCATACCTCATCCTCTGCTTCAATATATCAACAAAATATCTTTATTATTTACATGTATAATCAATGACCTAGTACAATTATTTTTTCAACATCTAATTTGTATAAATATTCGTCAAAACATACACTAATTATACAAAAAAAGTGATCAACCATATATGACGGTCTGCATCATTGACAGCACATGATATCATTACGGGCAAGGCATAGATTCAAATGTCTTCTCCTAATCTTCCTGATATCTGGAAGAGCTGGAATGTTATAACTTCTTTTGAAGAATTACTAAAAATTTAAGGGGAATTCTACTATTCTTTAAATAGAGTATTTGTTACAATCAATGGGTCTTTGTGAAATTCAAATACATATGATCATGGATTCTCATGGTGAATTTTGGAAATAAACTATTACAACAACAGATTTCATACAGATCAGTGACATTGCATTTCACTTTTAACTTAAAGGTCTTACGTAATGCAGTTACCATGCTAATACTTGAAAACATCTGCCTTCAGAAAGGAAAGTATGAGGTCCTTCGGAAGCAACCTGAAAGCTATTCAATTTCTGTTCAGCTATATTCAGAGTAATTTAGAATGGGATGTCCAAGGACTTTCTCCTCCTGAATGAATGAATCTGAATACCCAGGTGGTGTAAAATTCCAGATGAGAACCTGTGATTACACATCTTTTTAAAGGTTGGTACGCCCTTGTAAAATATAGCTTCTTGTAGGAGTGAAGACCTGTCTGATACCTACCTTTTCTAAATCTGCCTCTGAAATCTGAAGGAGTTGAGGAAATGTGACTTCATGGTCTTTAAAGAGTGGGATGAGGTCACCGAGCTTGAGGCCATAGAGGAACAGTTCCAGATCATCTAGGACATGGTAGGACTGATGGTTAGACAGGGTAGATGCTGGTCTTGGTAGTGGTGGTGATGGTTTGTGGTTAGTAGTAGGAGGAACGCTGGTGGTGGTGGTGGTGGTGGTGATGGATGTGGCAGGTGTTGGTGTAACTGGTGTTGGAGACTGGATATCACCCCTGTGGAGATGACCAAAATTATTTTATAATCATAGCTACCCTTAATAATTCAAGAAAGAATGGCAACTTTTAATTGGATACAGAGAAGTATTTCATTTCTATTTTCATAGAATAAATGGACTCATCAAACATTTAATGGTAATCTTGAGTTGTGGCAGTGACAAAGCATAAACACCAAAAGAAGAAATCTCTAATTCTATCAAAATGCAAAGATGTGTAATTACATGATATCAAAAGAAAAGAATTTGAAAGTAATGAGTGAATCAGAGAACGAAGATGAAGATCTCAGGGTCCCATCTTACAAAGACCCACGATTAATCTGAATTGAATTCAACTCAACGTGAGTTGGATATCAAACACAACTCCTATAACAACATAGCAAACTTAACTTACAATTGATTGGAGGACTTGAGATCAATTTAATCAATTGCAACTTCATACAGGACCAGACCTGCCAACCTCTGGAGTTCAAAAACTGTATTCTTTAATCCCCAAAATTGTATTTTACTGACAAAAGTTGTATTCTTTAAAAAAACATGGACTGTTACACAAATCAATGCCTCTTACAGTTCGTACATACAGGAAGAATTTTTAGTATGGTTCATTGGTTGAATATGCATGATTTCGTCACGACCGGTGTGTTCGATGAACCAATGAACATCCCCAAATTGCCGATGTGAGATGCTTGTCGAATACTTTACAGGATCATTTCGCCATTGAAAATGGCACACACACACACAAAAAAAAGATTTTCACCAATAGTTTTTTTTGTTGAAAATCATATTTTATTGAGGAAAATCGTACTGTCGTATTTGCTTCTAAATATCATACAAAATACGACTAAATCGTACTGGTTGGCAAGTCTGCAGGACCAGCTCTAGTCTGATAATGAGCATAAACTTGTCAGAGCTTTTTAGTATAAGCAGATATCATCACATCTTCTTAACTGAATACCATTGAATGATTTCAACAACCCTGCAATACACCCAGATTCCTTTTAACTACATGATCAACTATACCAAAATAACATATCTACCAACCATTCAACAACAAAATTTGGTAATTTCCTATGCCAAAACTGTAGGAATACAGTTAATTATACACACTTTTATACAGATATTTTCAGAAAACATGAGACATGTAGGGTTCATAACACCAGATATAACTTTCTCTTCCATCACTCAGTTTTGTTACTAGAATTCAAGATTCCTATTACCCAGTGCCTTCATTTACTTTTAAAGGACAAGTCCACTCCAAAAATAAGTTACTTTTAATAGAAGCAGAAAAATCAGACAAACCAATCAAAACAAGTTTGAGCAAAATCTGAGAACTTTGGAACAATGAAAGCACAAGACAAATTGGGAACTCACTCATCAGTCTGTGACGTCATGTCCTCACTATCCACTAATTATTTTCTTTATATTGATAATCTAAATTTCCTATATTCCCCCTAAGAATCCTATTTCTTCACATCAGCATCCAAGTTCAATTGAGAGTAATATGTTTTTGTGTGGATGCAATATATAGAGTAAATTTTTTCCAGTTAAATCATGAAAAATGTGAATTTTGATAAACTATTTATACAAAAATCAATAATTATGAATATATAATATTAAGAAAATAGTATCAAGTCTTCAAAGTTCATAAAAGATTGTGTGAAATGTCATGCACGCATATATCAATATGATACAAATCATATAACCTGGGCAAAGGTATGGGGGAATCAAGTTTTGGGGGATAAAAAGGGAAATTAATGGGATTCAACTATGTAAAGCAATTGATAAATAGTGAGGACATGACGTCACAAACTGATAACCAAATTGGCAATTTGTGTAGTGATTTTCATTGTTCAATAGTTTTAAATATTTTTTCAAAAATTGATAACTTTCTTATTAGTTCTCAGATTTTGCTCAAACTTTTTTTGATTGGTTCTTCTGATTTTTCTGCTTCTATTTAAAGTAAGTTATTTTTTAGAGTGGACTTGTACTTTAAGACCATGCTCATGAGATCTAGGTCCCAGAAGGCCTAGACTAGATTCTTACCCTACTCTGGTAGGACTACTAGGTGGTAGAGTTGAGGTGGTGCCATTAGCGGTCTTGGACTTGGCAGGATTGGCAGCAGCTTCTAGTATCTCAGCCAACTAAAGGTCATAACAAAACAAAACAAAGGTGATTTTATCCACATTCTGACTAATAGGACACATGTAATCAGCATGGGAAGGCTGGTCCATACTATTTGTTTTCTTACTTCATCATGTTTATACTCTTTCAACCTCTCTCATCTCTAGTTTCCTGCACTTTTCTCCCAGGCCTCTGAATCAGCCTGCCCATGCTGATAACATGTGTCCTATTAATCAGAATGTGTTTACCAGGGACAAGGTCATATTCAAGGTTAAACACCACTGACTGCCAATACATGCAGGGTCAATACTGGTCTAATAAACCCTTCCCTTTCCCACTATACCTAAAACAGGATGGGATGTCGACCACAAATCTATTTGTCTGATTAGAAAATTAGAGGCAAATGTGATCCATTTGACAGTACAATGCCAGTACATCTAGGATAAAGAACTGGCAAAATTTCACTTTACCCATAGACATATATACCACTATTCATCTTTGAAAGAAAAAAAACACTATGTACTTTAGTTTCAAGGTAATATGAGAACAAACTGTGTTTTGATGAGCCAAGCCTTATTCCAGAATAAGCTGTAGTTATTGATGATCCTGTATTCCACTGAAGGAAATTGGAAAGATAGTAGTAGTGATTATTATAGCAAGTCTGGGCTAAATATCTAAAATTTGGAAGTGCCTTTAACAAATATTTGTTTTACCATTTTTGATCTGTGTAACAAGTCACACTTCTTCCTAAAATGATTTGTCTGCTATGATCAAAGTTCATTTTTAATAATTAATCAGGCCCATTGCCTGTTTGCTTTGTTCTGTTTCAAAGATAGGACACTAATTCAATTTGCAACTTGCTCTGACTCTGGTTTCAAGTACCGGTAGGACCAAGGTTTACATCCCTGACTCCCGACATTAACACAACATATGTGCAGCAGCAGTGCTATCATCACTCTGCTGAAAACACCTAGAAAGCACACTGGTTCATGGTCCTAACAGTAACATGAGCATGTGCAGGCTTACTGATGCTCGAAAATATACTCCATCGACAATTGCTCCACAATCTGTTCCATCAATGTATAGGATCAGAGTATTGATTGCAATTCAATTTGAGATATTTTTATGGTCAAAGTTAGGCATGGTGTATTGTCTAAAGTTAAAGTGAATTTGGTTAGTGTAGTACATTGACCATGGAGTCGTTCAACCAGATGGTCCTAATATGAGTGTTCTCTGAGAGTACTAACCCTATTCATGACATTTTTAATGCACAAGTCTAGGTTAGCAGGCCCTCATACGAACATGTACTAAGTATTGGAACATAAGGAAACAGAGAGTTGTCATTACAAAGGGTCATCAATGGATATACAGTGTATATGCAAACCTTGATATGGTCTTTGCTGTAAGCAATGTCTGTAGCAGTACCATCATTACTGCACTTGGTAGCATCTGCTCTGTTAGCTAATAGCAATTCAACAACCCTGGTGTGACCTCCTTCAGCTGCATAGAACAAAGCCTGGACATAGAAACAGAAACGGAGAAAGTGGCGAGATATGGAGAATTATAACCCGTATCAGACATCTGAGCTGGTCATTTACAAAACTGTATTGCCCTAGTTTTCATTAGCAGTGGGAACGGAAGGGTACATTCTTTGTATTTTCCTTGGTCTCCCTGCCCGTATAGACTTTGCGTGTAGAGACGAGTGAAAATATAGTCTCATATTGACCTAACCGTATTTTGTCATTTTCATTGCGCATCTATTATGCGTACGAGAACCTGCAAACTTTACGCGCACTCTATTGTGACGTAATAATCACACCAAAGGCACACTGTTTGCAGTGTATCAAAAATTTTGTCTTGGAAACTTTTTTCAGTTTTTTTAGATTGTCATGGTTGATTTATGTATTTGCTCTAGATGTCTGATTTGGATAACAATAAAAATATTGACTGGCTTCATTTTCGAGAGATACCACATATATTGCCCTCACAAGACCCGTATCGCCCTCGTCTTTGTATCGGGGCAATATGAGTCTAATTTGGGCAATATATGTGGTATCTCCCTCAAGGCCAGTCAATATTATATAAATAGACAGGTGTACAGGTAGATGGAGAAAGACAGAGAGGGGGAGAAAGGGGTGAAATATGGATAAATAGATAAACCTATAAACAGAGAGAGAGAGAGAGAGAGAGAGAGAGATAGATGGGAAAAGGGGGGGGGGGGGTCAGAGGGAGAGAGAGAAAGGGGAAGAAAGACAGACACACAGAGGATTAAGAAAGAAGGAGTAAAAAAGGAAGTACAGGTACAAGTAAAAGAGATGACAAAATAGAGAGAGAGAGAGAGAGAGAGAGAGAGAGACCATGACCAAGTCAGGACACAGAGACAGACAGATGTACAGACATACTCATTAACTTATACAGTCTACAGATTCTGCCAGAGATTAATTATGAATGTTTGGTTTGTCTGTGTATACCTGTCAAAGTTCTCCCCATGTAATATCATAGAGATATCAACTGCTTTGAGAGGTCTGGCTGTTTTATATGCTCAAGGGAACGCGCGCACCTCCTGCCATGACCCTGAGGCGCACCTGGGTGGGCCGAGGGGTCATGGCAGGACGTGCTAGTTCCCGAGAGCATATAAAGCAGCCAGACCTCTAATATCAAAGCAGTCGATAAGTCTTTTATATGCCGAATTGAAACAAAAATCTATCAAGAATTCTTACCTTATCCTTTTATTGAGTAAAGATTGGTTAAAACATCATGGAAAATCTGAGACACTGTTACTTGAAAAATGACTGAAAGTTTCAATCATTTTGGAATCGCAGACAAAAAGCACTGTATGGTGTCCAATATTATTATTATTATTAAGGTTATCAAATTCTATTAAATGCATGTGTGGCAGACAATTTATTCTCAATCGATCAGATCAGAGTATTTTTAACAGGATTCATGACTCGTTGGAGGAGATTACAACCCAATGTGTGCTTTACAAGACTTCACACACTGCAGACCAATTTTTAATACAGTATCAATATCAACAAATGATTGAACACTTCAGGGAGTTGCTATTATTGTTGTAATTGCTGTTGAAGAGTCCTACTGTTTCCTGCTGTTACACAGCCACAATATCATCTGAAAAACCAATCTAAACAAACTAGGATGTACATGTAAGTATTAGAACTAGCACCGACCAATTTTTTTTGGCATATTTAATAAGCTATGACCTTTGACCTACAATACTCTGAAATCGGACATAGGCTGTATTTTGATAGCATGTACCTTCATATCAAATTTCATGAAAAATCTGTCAAATAAAAGTTATCGAAAGAAAACCAGATTTGTTACGGACGGACGGCAGCGTTGCTATCCCCTCCCACTTCATTTGCGAGGGGATAATAATGTAAAACCATAACTTACAGAGTTTTTGTTTTGCAACAAGGAACTTTGTGAAACTGGACCACTCATAAAATTGACAAAATGTAGCATTTGATTTTTATAAATCAACTGGTACTAAAGTCAATGTATCGCCAAACATCTACATAAATATATTATACAAATAATGAATGGCTATGAGTTCAATAGTGCGAATATGTTCATGAGTTGAAAGATTAACATTCTATTCAACGAGGCGTCAGCCGAGTTGAATAGAATTAACGTTAATCTTTCAACGAATGAAAATATTTGCACTATTAAACGAATGAAAAACATTCATTATTTGTTTTATACAACATCGAAGAAGACCTAATAGAACGTTAATCAACAAATTATGCTTTACTCCTTATAAAGATAAATTACAGTTCGAGTCAAGCCTTCTCAATTACATGCAGATTGCCTTCGCGTCAGATACACGCAGGGATACGCGCGCGCACATGCAGCAGAGAGATACGCAGTCTGCATATAACCAAAAATGCACGGCGCATATAACCAAAAATGCACGACCGTGCAATATACCATCTATTGAATATCATGTGACCAACAATCGTCCAATCAAATGACAAGGATCCACGTAGGTATTGTATAATAGATATTATTATGAATATTTCATCGAGAGAGAAGTTCTTGTATGAATGAGCTTACAAAAGGAAATAACATGGGACCAACCATATATTTGCTTTGTAATGTGTATGTTTTTTGTATTCAATTTTTCTTTTGTATGTTTTGCTTTAACATGTATATGATTCAATAAATTCAATTAATTTCAATTCAATTAAAAAATACAAGTCAATACACGCTTCCACAAGAAAGTACAAATGGCGATACTTACTGGCCATCTCCTGTTGTCCACATTGTTAACTTCTGCTCCACAAGATAGAAGTTTCTCTACAACCTTGAAATGACCATGCTGAGAAGCAACCATCAAAGGGGTCATGTGACTCCTGACATGTGACACACAGAGTAAGAAATGGATAAGAACTGTCACAATAGGATGATTCTTCTTTGCATTTATACTGAATTCAAAATAGTATGAAATCACCACTTTAACAAGACTGAAAGCAACAGTCACACAATTTATAGTACACTGCCAAAACAAAAAATAGCAACAAATGACAGAGAAGACAAACACTTCCTAGTCAACAATTTATGGCATACCGTAAATCTCTGTGTATAAGACGCACCTTTTTCCGCCGAAAAAATTGTGAAAGTCAGGGTGCATCTTATACACAGGCACAAAAATGTGTTTGTTTCTTTTCTCTGCCTAAAAATAGGGGAGTGTCTTATACACAGGTGCGTCTTATATACAGTGATTTACGGTAATGAGCTGGAGCAAAGCACAATATTGACTGATCATGCTTCTGCATCTCTGTGAAGCTCTTCTGCACCTAAAAACGGCACGGTCAAATTCATATCAATAAATATATGTACTTATTACTTTCAATGACTTCACCTCTCAAACACAAAGTTCACCAATGCAGCAGTTCAAATGCAGCGGTTAAGAGTTTGACAAGAATTTCTGATTTTTTCATAGGGTTATGTGTTATGAGCAACCGCTTGTAAGTTTGCGGAGTGACCTTGGATAGTTTGAAAGAGCCTCACAGAGACGCAGGAGCGTGATCACTCAATACTTGTTTTGCTCAAGCCGATAATGGAAACAAAACACAGTGCACAAAATTATGGTAAGACAAAAGAAAATGAGACAGGAACAAGATACAAGAGGAGCATGAAGAAGTAATTTCAAAGATAAATGTGAACTTTTGGAAATTGTTGCAAAGTTCCTGCTACAAGGGAAAATGAAAAGTTCCTCATCTTAAAAGAAAAAGGCATGGAACAATCATAGATAACTCACATCTGCACTGTCATCAAAGTATGTTTTATACTACAAGGCTACGACGAGTACTCGCACTGTTGATAACTACTTGATTAGAATATCTCGTACTCGTATATTAGGCCGCCATTTTTTCTTCTTTTTTTTTCTCCCCATCCACCTGGCACTGTCCAGGCCGACGCTTCCCCATGCCCAGCAGAGCGCCTGCATGGTACCGTGTGTAAAAATGTTTCCAGCTCAATCACTGTCAACTCACCACTCAGAAACTGGGACCAAATGTCCGGATTTCTGTTTGGACTCGGAGGAAAAGTAGTCTGTCATCTTTGGTTTTAAAAACAGCATTGTTTATTATTATTATTATTATTAAAGCGGCGCCTTCAACTGCAACTCAAAGTAAAATTGCGTAGTTTTCAGAGACGGACTTTGGATACTTCTGCCGTAGTATGGTGGTGGCTAAAAAAAAACACATGGCGTCCGAGTATTCGCCTGTAAGCCTGGGAGTGTACTCGAGTACCTCATTACATGGTTATGCACAGCCTTATTTTATACGATCAAATATGGTGAATATGGACACCAGGGTGAATAAGGAAAAAAAAGAGAATTTTTTTTTAATGTTTTTTCTACCAAGAGAGCTCATTCTTGTTATTGTTATATCTATAAAGATTACAGGAAATTAACAAGTTCCGCATCACTCCTAAAGATGAATGACATGTTCCAGAATGAAAAACACTTTGTTTATTCAACAATAGTAATACCACAAACCAGGATCTAATGCTATGCCGAGAGGAACAGCAAAATAAATGATTCCTTCCTCTTTTGACCGCATACATACAGAATGCAAGTAGCAAAATAGGTTCAGTCAATTAAAAGAGCTGTTTAGTTCTTCTTTTCTCCATGTTACCTGATAGTGATACTGTATGAACTATGAATTGTTCTCATCCAAAATGCATGTAAATACTGGTAGATATCAAACACATTTTATTGATCAAGTCTAAATTAGTATCTCATCCATCAAATTTTAAATATGGCTTTATAGCATAGGGAGTAGATAGAGACAGAGGCTCATTACCCCCAGAACAGGTTTTTCAAAAGCACAACAGAGCCGTCAACGAATTATCTTCTCAGGTAATTATGGATAGAATTACTTAATTAAAAACAGTGGTAAAAGAGTTAAGTTTGGCTGAAAAGCAAATCTTGAAAACGAAATTGTACCGTACTTGTTTTACCTTGGATTTCAAGTTGATTACTATGGGATAAAAAGAGGTTTGGTAAGTCCATGAGCTTAAGTGGTTGTGTTGACTAGTCAAACAGAAGCCATCATACTCAAATATACACACGTCGCTAGTTGAGTATCTAATATTGACTTTCATGACTCACTTATAGTGACTGCATAAGTTATATACTGAAAAACTCAAAAATGAGGAAAATATCATTGTTTCCCTCTCATGCCTAAGCTCCTCATGTTCACTAAAATTGCACATGTTCAAAACTAAGTTTTTGACTCTAAATTGCTAGTTCTCATGTTTTAAATTGCAAATTTCTATAGGTTTAATCAAATTCCCTTATTTGATTTAAAACAATTAGTTAAAATTCTTTCAACCAATCTCAGGTTGTCCTGTTCATCAATACTATATTACTTTGATCAATCAATAGTTAGCCGGTGTCCTCAAAATATCCCAGATATATACAGATCGCTAAAACATAGAGACGTACCACTCCGAAAATCACTTTGAAAAACAATGGAGGTGGTTCATGAACAGGTTCCCCAGTAGAAAAGAATGGTATATCACAGAATAAACTATAATTTACAGATCTTTCATATGTACTGATTTACTGTAAAGCATTTTAGCATAGAAATGTTAATGAATTATGTGAGTGCTTCAGATTTGCAAAGTTTCATGCTGAAAATTAATTGAATCACAACTGACACAGTTTTCAATTGTGTCCATGGCTATCCTGTTCATGAACGTTTCTGATTTTTCTAGTATAAAGTATTTTTGTTTAGTGGGTTATACATTTTGTGACAAATAACCTTTATCTCATCATTTCCAGACAGCATGTTACTATAAACTGGCCCATATATGACCCAATGAAGTCACAAAGGCAGGAAGGATTTCAGAGATAATACTAGTTCCTAGCACCAGATAGTCATGTCTGTCAATTTTACCTAATTGATCCCATCTTATGATTATTTGTATTTCTGTGTAATACACCATTAGACAGTAATCATTGCTCTTTGTGGTAACCAACATTTTTGTTTTCATGACCTTTTATGGAAACATTACACAAACCCTAAAAGGTATACATGACTTGACAGTGCCCTACATGCATTAGCACCAAAGCAAGGAGAGTCACGTGACAAACTGGCATCATACTGAAGTTTGCTTTTACACTGCAAAAAATCAGTAAAACTTTGGTAGACGTTTCAAAAATCCACATTCAAGGGTGAATTTTTTATTTTGATTTTGTTGTTATTGATGTGTTTGCCGGTTTTCCGGTTGTATGAAAAATAAAAATGCCCGCAGATATCACACTTTGTTGAGAATTACTGGTGAGCACTGAGCACCCGAATGTGAGAAAAATCAATGACTTTTTGTTGCAGTGTAAATGTAGCTATTATTGTTGTAAATGCAACATGTTACACTTGAGGATTAAATCTACTCAATTGAGTAGATCACCCAAATCACATATTTTCTTTCTGTCATTTGTACTTGATCAATGTTCCATGAAATATGCTTGATATGCATAAGACATTCAGGGTAATCCAACCACAAATGTGCTTTCTTTCTCTTTGAGAATCAACAAAGCCTTATTACATTAAGAAAGAGCATGAGTACTGTGTGTACCATGCTAAAGTGAAACAAGTTGTAAGTGAACTGCTTTGATCTGGCACATCATGATAAGTCCCTGGACACCTCCGCCCACATAAAACATTTCCGGGCTGGTAAATTGGCAACATTACTGCAGCATTAGATCAGCAAATATTGTGGTTAGAAGGAAAGAAGAAAAAAGTCAAAGGATGTATCAAGAAGGAAGCTATAATAGTCAATGTATGGGGATTTAAACATTCCCAACAAAGAACACAACAAATCCTTCTACTACTCAGTAAATTTTATGAACATCCTCTACTCTTAAAATCGATGGTTAGAGATAAATATGTAATCACCCATTTAGAAATTTATAGCTGGCTATGACTTATTATCAAGACTACCTTCTCAATATTGCTACTTCCCACCTACCAAATAAAGTTTCCTTCTATTTTGAAAATCTGGAGCAGGGCTCTCACTTACTGTAAAGGTAAAGACCAGTATTGGAAACGCCCCAATTTCAAAAATTGAAATGGAAGCTCCATTACCAATCATGTGAAAGAATATGTTTTGACTAATACATAATGATACAAGATTTGCCGGGAAACCGCCTACTAATTGATGTATTTGGTAAATTAGTTGATCTATTGATGTGTGAGAGATAAACTCACATGTCATGCACATGTGCGTAGTCCCATCTACATCTTTCTGTGTACAGTGTTTGTAACTTTACCAAGACTTTGCCAAATTTCTTATTATTTTGATGATTCCAGAACCTTGCAATACACACAAATTCTTATATGCTAGACGATCAACCTTTTCTGGTTGATTCCACAACGTTTCTTTCACAATGCAATCGCATGACCAGAACTCAACTTCATCTTTAAGTCAAGTCAACGCCACTATAACTCGACAATGGGATGATACACTAAATAGCAGGGGGAGGAGTCTTGTTACATTCATATATTGAACAATGTGTGATGTTGCAATTTTATTGATGAATTGCAAACTCTTTTTTTTAGGGGGAGGGGGGGGGTCCTATATTTGATTGTATTTTTATAGCTCGTATATTTGCCTTTCCTCTTTAAATATGCTTATTCTTTTTGCTTTTTGATGACATATTTGAATTGACACATGTTATAGAAATCTACAATGCACACAGTTGGAGTAAATATGCCTGAACATCTCTTTCTCAATATTAAGAAATGGACCTTGTTTCAATGTATTTAATTCTAAACATTGAACTAGAAGTGTGATATTTGATGAGCAAGCATTGGGCCAGCTTTCAAGAGAATATTTAGGTTAA